CTGGCTGGCTGGCTGGAGGAGAGCGTGTAGCCTGAATAAAGAGAGCCCGAAGGCGATGTGACCAGTGAAATGCCATCTTATCGATCGTCGTCTGGAGGACTAGGCTCCCCAGGCATGCCAGCCTGTTCACTTGTTAGACCGCCTCAGTTGGCCTCCGGCCGAAGTCGTCTCGAGCTGAGAGCATTACTTTGCGTGCCGCCTTCAGTTGATTGGCGCTAAATCGAACTTGACTAGTTGAGTAGGCCGGAAGATAGGCCCGTCCGACCGTAAGTTGTAAACGCGTGGATGCGAAGCGCCTTGAGAACCGGACCAGCCAAAGCTACATTAAGTGGCCATCAAAAATCGTTTAATCACTCCTTCATTGGATGACTACCGGGCCGAAGCAAGTCTTAGCGTCATGTTGGATGGCATTCCACGCCCTCTGCGATATATGGTCTCCGTTGTGCGTCATCTTCACCATGGGATCCAGAGGCAACTAATACATACGCAAAAGTCAAATGGATCCTTCGATGAACACATTGAAAAGTGTCCAGATGACAAGTCTTTCAGATATTCAAGACTAGACTTACAACATGATGTACCGTCGAGAGTGCATGACTCTTCTGAGCCTCTATTCTTTTCTGAGAGTCTAAGATATTTCGATTAAATTAATGGCTTTGTCTTTTATGAAATGGTCATTCTTGACTAAGTTGACTCTGCTGCACATCGTCGAGATTCTATTCGCATGTACAAACCGAACGAGTCATTTGAGGAGCAAGTTGAAAATCGTTCAGAGAGCAAAGATTAAAAGTACGACATGGTGTACTGTCGCGAATCCACTTATCAGCCTATTGCCCGATTTGATTGTCTTCCCTTATCCATTTTGCGGACATGGAGAGAGGCCGGTTCCCGTTAGTGTTAAGTTGACTCAACTTTTGGACGAAGACCTCATACATTGCATTAATGAAATGGTTCCGGTGAATGGCATTATGCATGTATCCAGTATACATGAGACCTACACATATTAGTGCGGGAAATTTACAATATCAGCCCTTAGTTATGGTATCTAGGTTCATATTCAAGAATTGCGGATACTTTTTAAAACAGGCCTAATATATTTTCCGTATGTAAGTAGATTTTCGAGACTATCAGTAAATCAGTAATATGAGATGTATTCATCCAATTTCTTTTGAGATTATAAACGACTTGTAGTAGAATTTTCCCACAATGACATGAGTGGAGCTGACGCTTACATTCAATTTCACAAAGCTTTGCTTTGCCAAAAGTTGTTCATAGCCAGGCAGGACTTCAGTTTCAACCTCGCATCGGTCTTATCAACACGTCCAACGGGAGTCGAACCATGGCAGGGCAGCGTGTAAGCTCAACACATTAACCACCACGAGCGCCCTTGGGTCACAGAGCAGATATGAATTTAATATCATATTCTTTGGTGGGATAGTCGGTGAAGCTATGACAATTGACTACATTACTTTTCTTTCGTTTATAAAAGGGGTTTTGAGACTACCAGTAAGTCACTTATATGAGAGGTATTAACCCTATTTAATATAAGGGGATGAAGAACTGGTAGTTTCATTTTCACATAATGATATGAGTAGAGCTGACATTTCATTTATAATTTCACATAGTGGGAAAATTCACTTACCAGGCTTTCATCACCTTAGACGAAATGGAGTGAATACATTTCATATAAGTTCTACTTTACGGCTTACGTTCCAGCCCCTTGGAGCATCAGTGACAGCCCAAATAAATAAATACGGCTTGTAAATCAAGATTACTTTTCAACATTAACTTTATAAAATAGCATCAACATCATTGTCTGGTCGCTGGTGAGGCCAATTTACGAATCCCATCCAGCCAACTTTTCCTTCAAAATGAGAAATATCAAGTCACATCAACAAGTCTGCCTTCGTAAACGGCCCGAAAAGGGTCCTTCTTGTGGCCATATTGATTTAGTTGTTTTTGTTAAAATAATTTTGATAATTGTGATTGGTATTTTTCATCAATTTCACAAGATAGGTGAGTTTGTTGTTGACCGAGTGAAAACATGCCATTTAAGCTCAACCCCAAATAGATGAATATTTAGCGCATATGCCGGCATTCCGTTTCCAAATCTAATAACGGATTCCAGTTAATGCCGAGTGGATTCTTTGTGTGTAGGGGTATATTAATAATTCCTTATATGAAAATGTATTTTAAGCAGTAGTTACATATTTACAATTGCTGCGATCACTGTAGGCTCCTCATAACCTCGTGGCCCCTCTTCTATAATCTTAAATATATCTCTTGATTATGATATTATAGCTATTCCTCTTATAGTTTGGTGGTAATGTTCACTGGCCTGTGTTCTAGTCACTTAGTAATGCTAGATTCACAGACTAATTAAGAAATAAAGGGTAGTGATTTGCTCTACCTGCCATGTAAATATATTTTTATGATTTTATATGACATTATTCGAAGTAGAATAAACTACTAATAGCTGAAATTTAATATAAGTTAGCTATGCTCTGTTAAAGAAGCTCTGGCCTTATTTGCAAGCGAACTTAAAGAGCAGCGGGAAAAAGAGGATGCGAACGAACAGTTAACAATGGGTCCTGAAGTGCTCACAACATGCGCAGGCTAATGAAACTATCATGTATCTTAATAGAAAAAGCATATTGTAAAATACGTAATGCAATACTTTGGCATTGTTTAATACTGAATATAATTAATATTATATTATTATCTCGGAATTTTGAAGAAAGACATAAAGTATTTAGATTGGTGCCAGCACCCAGCTTCTCTTAACACCTCAAAAATGTTCATGAAATCATTATAAATCACCGAATAACAACTATAAATGAGTACAATGAATTTAACTGCTTTGTTTATCTGGAGTAGATTACCACATAATTTTCAAAAAACGATACTTGCATCCATTCATCGCTTCTTTAAGTCTCCACATTTTACGCTTTCTTATTCCTACATTTTGTTTTTCAGCACGAATTGCTTAAGAGGCGTGAGATGGAAATCAACAAGCTGCGCAAGGACTTGGAAAATGCCAACATGATGCTGGAAAATTCCGAAACCACTCTGAGACGCAAGCATCAGACAGTACTCAATGAGTTCAGCTCGGAAATCGAGAGCCTTCAGAAACAGAAGGGAAAGGCCGAGAAGGACAAGAATCAACTGATGCTAGAAATCGACAATGTATTGGGCCAACTTGATGGGGCTATGAAAGCCAAGGTAGATTCAGCCTATGCGAAGCTGGGAGTCGATTATGGCTAATTTTACTGCTTATTCTTTCTTTCCCTTCTAATGGCAGCAGTCCCCGTTCGCCAAATAATATTGGTTTTACGTCGTTTTCGCAACTTGGCAGTGGCGACATGAAGATTTTGCATTCTTTGCCCGAGTGTTCACGATAATTTCCATTATCGGAACGTTGATTTGGTTAACTCCAAGATGATTTGCCAACATCGTAGTCGGTATCGTCCGTGAGAGGCGCCATCCTTAGTACAGAATTACAACTTATCACTTGTCGCTTTGATCCATTTCAGCTTTGTGCTAAGGTGGGCGCTTTTAATTAAGGTTACCGACTACGATGGCGGCGAAACGTCTGGAAATGTGCCAAGTCAACCGTCAGATGCTAAAAATTGTCCTCGCTACTATGGCACAAAGTGAAGGACCATGTATGTTCCACAAAGTCTCTTTGTCTCTCTGGTCAAGTTGCGAAAGCTAGGTCATATTAATACCAACCAAATTTATGTTTTAATGTAACTTTTAGTCTTCTCTTAGTTTGGGATTCCCATTCCAACCGTTATTAATGGTTGTGTTTTATTTTTTATCAATATTTATGCGATGCACTAACCGAGTGAGCATAAGGGGTATAGATTTTATTTGTGATTACAATGTGTGCTTACTACCCCCTGGAGAATAACTTGGTTCACAGGTGAGCAATAGTTATGGGCGAGCAACTTATTTATTTTCAACTATATAACCTTTGTCTAATTATTTATATTTCCCTTATTCGGAACAATCTGTCGGTCGTTGGGATCAAATCAAAGTATTGCAATTTGCAAAAGTACTCTTTCATGACGTTTACAGGTTTCCATTTTATATATTACAATCGAGGATATAGCAAATGAATGCCTTGATCTTTTGATACTGACGAGCTTAATCCGGATTAATTTTATTCTATTAAGCTACTAATCACCTCGTTCTACACTTAGCCTTCTGAATTAACGGTGAAGGCACTACTTTCTTCTTCTCTAGTGGCCATTGTATGAACTTTAATTCGGCCGCTTGTTTTCTATTGCATGACCAGCTTTCCTTATATGCATATATAGTTGTTTTTGCTATATATTGCCAAGCTTTTATGAGCCTGACGACTGCAGAATAATAATTGGGGATAACTTGATTAATATTGGTCTGGACTTTAAACACTAAATCAATTGTAGCAGAAAATCTTCCCAAAAAAGTTGGCTAGGAATCTGAAAAAATAAATTAAACAAATTCTTACACCGAGACATAAAATAACTTTTAGGCTAGTGGATTAGCGTCAAGGTCCTTACTATCGTTGGTAATGAAATATGTCTTCTCAATATCCTAATAATGTAGTTTATGGAAAAAATCGGCTCCAAGAAGAAGTGGTTATGTACCGAAAATGTCCGACCAAAAGTGAATAATTTTAATCTTCTGCTTCTGAGCTTTTTTACAAGTAATTTCCAGCAGATTCAGGCTTTAACCTGAAACGGGCACTAAAGATTCGACATATCAAAAGCTACCGAATATGAACCATCATATCCACAGTATTTAGAAAAAACCCATTCTACTTCTCTCCTTGTTTTTAAAGCCATATTATCTATTTATAGGCAATAGCACTGCTTTATTTCTAAAGAGCTTTTGCCATCAGTTTCTACTCATGTCAGCTTAAGTGAGTTTAGATTATGATTCACTTTGTATTGCCTTACACTTGAAACTTTAATCAGATCCCTTCTCTTTACGTATGCAAACACAAAGTTTCTGATCCCAACTTTATATATTTGACAGATAATTCTGCGGCTAATTGAATAAAATAGCAATTCTTAGTTAGAAGAGCATCTACTCTGGTAGCTAAGGGCGTGCTTCCACTGAAATCACTCAGGAAGCCTTCCTGGATTGATAGAAATAATTAGTGGAAATGGAACAGTGTGCTTTCTACAAGCTAAACGTTGCTGAAAGCAATCTCACAATATTGTCTGTTATTGGTTCCAACTACACGCCCCCCAGACATCAATAACGACATAATAAAGAATGGATATTAGCATTGTTAAAAAGTATAAATAAATAAAAATGCTGCAATCAATTCACGGTCAAATTAGATAAATTGCTCACAATGGCAATGAATCTGTAGTTAAAGTGTGGTACTGCCATGAGACCAGCCGACATAAATGGATACATAAAGAGTGAAGGGGTAGACTACTTATTGCAAACTTTATGAATGGAATAAATGAAAATTCTTTTGGATTTGTACATGCACAGACGTATTGCTTATAGAAATGGATGAAGTACTATATCCCTGTCCGGATGATTCCAAGTCTACTTGAAAAACCACTTTTCAAAGTCGATCGAGTTGACTCTACTCGATGTTCAACGTCAGATCTCTCAAATAAGATATCTTGTAGGCCAGTTAACGCACAGATTATGCATAGCTTACTTGATGGTCCCACGGAACTGTATCTTATTGCCACTGGAAACTCTGCATTCACTCTATTTCGTGGATCTTACGCAGAAAATCGACCATTGCCATGCATTCCACCACTGAAAGATTGTCTTTAGAGGATAGTCGCCTACACTAATGAAGCTCATATAAAGCCACGAAATCAAAACACGTTTTGCCAAGAACGGTAACGTCTGAATCCAAAAATGCTCGAAGCATATGCAAAGGAAGTAAAGATAACACTTTAATTTTTATGACATTTACATTATTGGGTCTCTGATAGAAAGTACTAGTCCTTGGTTTCGAGTATCTAAAGTAAAGTTAACATTCGTTGCCCGGGATATCCTTTAAAAAGTGTTTGATAATTATATATTATAGTACAGGCTCTAGAATGTTGATATTAATGGTATTAAATGAAACAACCAATTGCTAATGTCTAAAATGTTATTTTAGCACTCAGCCGAAACCAAACTCGAAGGCCTTGACAGTCAATTGTCTCGTCTCAAATGTCTCACCGATGACCTCCAGCGCCAAATGAATGACCTACAGAATTTGAAAGCCCGCCTGACAGCTGAAAACTTTGAGTTGGTCAAGGCAAATCAAGAATACGAGGCCCAGTTCATCACACTCTCCAAGGCGAAATCCTCACTTGAGTCTGAAGTGGACGATCTCAAACGCGCCCTGGATGATGCCTCTAAAGTGGGTCATGACTGCAAGCTTTGTTGAGTGAAATATTTAGGCTAAATTAGACAGAAATATTGCATTAGAATATTTAGACAATTATTTGCTTTGATGAAAAAATAATATTTTTTAAACATAACATCAGCTATTTGCATAAATAATCTAAAATTTACTACTATTCTATTTTCTAGTTGCTTCAAATTTATTTATTTACTCTAGTCCTTCCTTAACAATTGTTTGATTCAAAATTAATTTTAACTCTCTAACATCAATGTTAAAACAGCTTTTATTGATCATCATTACCAAGTATCGAACTTTATGTGAAAATATTTAATTCTAAACTTGCATACTTCATTGTCAATATGAATGCTCCCAATGACTTTGTTTGGATTCACTTAATTACTAGCTTAGGCATCATAACAAGTGAGGCTAGGTTTGGTGATAGCTCGTGTCTTGAAGCTAACATCAACTTCAGGAAGCAGTTATTATCT